GCCTGCAGGCCGGCGTCGGTATGAGTGGTTCCACTCTGGTGGCTCAGCACATGAGAGGTGACCTTGAGTCCCTCCAGGTGCCCTTGCTCTGTCCCCCTGCTGCCATCTTTGGCTGCCATCTAGACCCCCCAGACGTTGTTCTTGGGATTCAGTCACACAACCACTGTTCCGGGGGATCTTCCAGGGCCTGCTTTCTTCTGTTCGTGGTAGAATCATCCCAGTGTGGCAGGAAATGGAGAATCGTGTGCCTTGTTTTAGAGGGAAATGGAGAGTCGTGTGCCTTGTTCTCGAGAAGTCTGAAAGCAAAGGAGGGAGTCCCTTTCTGCAGGAAACCTGTCACAGGGGCTGGCTTCCTGGGAGAAGGGAGTCGAGATGAGGCCTCTCTGCGCTGAGGTGGCCGTTTAGATCCTGGGCTTTGGCGCTGGAATCCGAGGCATTAACCAAAACCACAAGTCCCGCGTGGCCTTCCTGGCCTGGCCTGACAGGTTTGTACTCTGGCGGGGCAGCCGTGGCCCACGTAGAGACGGCAACCAGCACGAGCACCGAGGGTTAGAAGGTGTCTAGAAATGCGGTTCAGAGGGCTGAGTGGCCATCTCCAGGGGCCCTAGCCTTTCCTCCCGGAAAGCGGGGAGACGACTCGTGTGGCCATTTCTAGCTTTTTGTCCAGGGGAATACAAGCATCCTGGAGAACTGTGCTTTTTTAAATCAAGCCCACGGGATGTAAAGTATGATCCACACAATGTGAACTTGACTTTTTGATTTCCCAAAAGAGTCTTGAAGCAGGTCCCCCTCACAGGCAGGTCCAGGCCAGTTTCCCTCAGTGTTTCTGTTAGTGACAAAGGAGGGCCTGGCTGGATGAATTGCTCCCATCCCCCTGTCCTGGCCCTGTGCAGCCCAGGCCGGCAGTCCCCTCCACCTGGGGCTGTGGTACCTAAAGGTGGAGTCTGAGTTGAGATGTGCTGTGAGCGGCCGGGCGTGGTGGCTCAAGCCTGTAATCCCAGCACTTTGGGAGGCTGAGACGGGCGGATCACGAGGTCAGGAGATCGAGACCATCCTGGCTAAC